TGAAACAAATGCAGGCTATTTCCATCCAAATCTCTCTTCTGGTGGAGGTTTGGATAAATGGAGGGACTCTGCAGCGTGACTGAAAATAAAACCCCTACAACATACCAGAAAAGACAAAACCAGGTGAACTCTGGACTCGCGGGCTTCCAGAGGAGCAAGTTCTCAGGTCATGCCTCTGGGGAGTTCAGTGTGAAGCAGATGCAGCTGCCCAGTGGACCCAGCTGACACCCTCTCCCTGTAAAGGCAGGAGTCAGGACCTCATCTTGCTGGTACACCCTGAATCTGAAAGTCTCTTCTGTTTCAAAATTGTGCCAGGATACACGTCTGTGCTTAGGATCTGGGATCTCCCTGTAAAGTACACTCATGTTACACAAACCTTTATTTTTGGAGGAGAAAAAGACAACTCCATATCTAGAACTAAATTTTCTTCCTCTTCTCAGTTCCCCATTTGTAACTCTTCTGTTGATTTAGCTTACCAGCAGGGACGATCACCCAAATGTTAGCTCCCAAAATATGGATTTCTTCTTTGTAGTCATCAGTACCTGCACTAATCTAATGAAGAAAATAAGACGTAAGACAGATTTTTGTGCCCAACCAAAGCAGCTTGCAGTTGAATATTGAATTCTCTTGAATTACTAAGTGAGTAAGACACAATTAAAAAGAGTTTCAAACCACAGGAACTTTGAGGAAAACTGCAGTCTGTTTGAGAGACAGATCTCAAAAGGGGAAGGAGAAAGAAAGAAAATCAATCAAATTATTCATTACAGACTTAACACTCACCTCAGATTAACAAGAAGCCCATTGTCTGATCCCAAGTGTAACAACAGGCTGTAATTTAAAACAGCTTTTATTCATTAATGAATAGAAAAGTTATTTCAGTGAGAATTTGGAGAAAACCTGTGCCAATTACCAGCACTAAACAGTCTTTCCTTGTAAAGTCATGGCTTGTTGGCTGGCTGCATGTTGTGACGCTAAATACAGTAAGCAAACGAGAGTGGTTTCTGCTACCAATTCAATCAGTAGGTTTGAAATGGAATTAACCTTTTAAAAATGGAAAGTGTTCCTTACAGCAGATGGTAGCGTTTGCATATACAAATACCTCTTAGAAATCATAATGTAAACCACATGCTCTGAAACAATAGGATTCCTGAGCTGAAACTTTCATCCTCCTGAAAATGAAAAATAACACTCTGCAAGCCCAGACCAGTGGCTGCTGCAGCAGGACCCACTCCTGCTTGTGCTGGGGTGAAGTGGGCACAAGAAGAGTTAGGGGAAGAACAAGGTAGGGGGGAGGGAGGGGGCATAGGAGGAAGCATGTGGATCTTGTGATGTACTAAGAGGTGATATTTCTCTGTCACTCACTGCTACACTCTTAGACTTATGTATTATGTTTTAGATCTACTCTATAGTGCAGCTCCTTGATATTTTAAACAGGATAAAATAATTCCCAAAATGCTGTATGCTGCTGTGGCTAGACTGCTTTTGCTCCCTGTGCCAGCTAGGGTGACTCTCCATAGCATATTATGAGGCTTTATATTCCTCTGGGTTGCACCAGATACAAGCATTTGCATCTCTTGAAAGCTCCTCAAATTACCTGTGTTGCCCAACTGCTGCTCACTATCCATCATGCTTTCCTGTGCTAACACACATTCACAAGCACTTGTCCACAGAGGCTTAAAGTAAGTGCAAGCGTTCTTAAAAAGAGGCAGATTCCAGAAGCTGCAGCGTTAGCAAGTACACGTAAGGAAAGGTTACAGCAGACCAGAACATCACTGCAAAGCAGAATCATTTCAAAAAGCAAGTAATTTTTTTCCTCCATATGTTCACCTTCAGCACAAACAAGCTGGCACTGCAGTGAAATAGTAAACGTTAGGGTTAACTCTGTCCCGTAGCTCATCCAGATTCGTGGTGCCAAGTTCCCTCAGAGCTATGGGGCAGATGCAGTCAGTGGGAGGTAAAACAGCTCCCAACACAGGAACCATCAGCCTAGAGGCTCTTTCAGAGGTTAGGCTGCTACTCAGACCCCCTCCTGTTTCCTGTAGAGCCTATGCAAGGCTGAACCCGTAAGCAAAACAGAGCTGTGTGCAGTGCTTACCTGGAACTTTGTTCTCACCTGCAGCTCGCATCTTACACACCAGTCCTTTGTGGGAAAGGCTGATTTTCAGTTAGTGTCTGTCAAGATATCTGGGTTTATCTTTGCACACCAGTGACACAGAAGCTGCTCTGTGTTCTGCACTTATCAGGATATGAAAGTCTCATCTTGAATTCAGTAGTGCGTCTAGCTTGTGTTAGACAACACCCAAAAGAGACAGGAAGGACTTGGGATTGTGCTGTGTGTCATCCTGATGGCTCTAAAAAATGTGTCTGAGCTTACAGTGCTCATCTGTCACTGCTCTCTGCCCAGCATCACGTGGGATGACAGCAACACCAGTAATAACACCAGGCTGCCCCGGGATATCAGTGCAGCTAAGATGACTTGCTTCACTGTGTGATGTATTAGCAAAGATTACTTTTAGTCCCTCTGATGTGCCCGATATACCTACAGTAGGATAGAGGCTAGGTGGCTTGCTTACCTTGTCTCTTACTTTCCATATCTGGTCCTTGCTGAGCATCAGTTTGACCACTGAAATGGCCTTAGGACCACTCTGTGTGCACCCCACTGAGACCAGAGTATAATACCTTGTGTTACAGCAAGGGGGACAGTCATCTGTGAGGTGCATTAAAGTGGTGAAGTCCATCAATGAGAGAGAAAATTATATGTAGGAGCAAATAAAGCAGGAGTCCATACTTTCTAGATTTTAAGAGTTTCTGAAGTAAGATGTTTCCCTTGACCAAGCCAGCAGCTCTTTAAGAATATTCTCAGAAGGTAGCTGAAAAAAACCCTCCTTCCCCTGCTATCTTCTATCCCTGCCTTCCTTCTTGCAGTTACCAAAACCAGCAATAAATGAGAATAGACAGAGCTGACGCTTCAAGACAACATGCTGTTTGCTAGGCCGGGTCAATAAAAACCATCTTGCTGCACAGAGGTATAACTTAGAACAAGTCCTGAGCAGCTTCAGAGCAGCAAAGTTGTAATGAAAGCTGCATCTAATGAAAGCAAGCCTTGAGAGTGGTAGTCTGTTATAATGTTAACAAAAGGAATTTCTTTGTACATTAATATTTGGCAGGCAATGTAGAACACATTAGGGCATTTTAGTTGGGTTTTAAAGAAAGAAATTGACACAGAAAGAAGGCAATGATTTTTTTAATAGAGGATCTCTCTGGGGGTTTGTGTTCATATCACAAACATTCACTTTATTACATTTTATGGAATGGACTTTAAATGCCAGTATATACAAGCCAACATTTCATTATTGGAGTTTGTGTTTATTTGCTTGCCATTGTCAGTCTGTTCCCCTTTGTCATCTTGTGCTGCTCTTTGTAAAAGCTATGATTTATGAATATGTGGTTTAGATCCATCACAATATAGTGTGGTGAAGTGGTTCGATAAAAAGTTATTAAAGTAAAAAAAAAAAAATCTATAGTTTCGCATGCTTTGCTTACCTTCTGTAGGAACCCCCAGTAGGAGACACTTACACTAAGCAAACATTGTGTGCTTGAGACTGTAATATAAGCTACAGGCTTCACTCAGCCAAAACTCCTGCTGCACCGTAGCCACTGCAGACAATTATAGTTTTGCCTACATGACTGCAGGATTATGCCCTCAACGTTATGTCAGTTGCACAGACCAAAAAGTGGAGGAAAACCTGCCATAAAACATTCATTTTAAAATCAGAAAATAAAGACATCCAGTAGCCTTAAGCTGCATTAGTACCAAATGGCATTTGGTTCTCAAACGTAAGTGTGTGTGTGCCACATATTTAGTTTCTTTTTAAAAGAAAGCTCTCGGTCCTGCTGATTGCAGGATAAACAAAGCTGACTGGCAGCTTCCAGAGCCCACTTAGAATCTGAATTTCTACAGAAACATAACACTGTTTCAGCCTAAAATAGAGTGAAAGGCTGATTTAGATCATCATACCTCAGCCCACGCAGGGCTTTTTCACCCAGCAGCACTGCTAACTTGCCACAGCTGCCCAGACAGAAGGGATGACAAATTGGCCACTCTTGCATATGGCTGGCAAGAAACAAGAGCTGGTTATAGCAGTGAAAGCTCCAGGATGAAAAATAATTTGTGGAAGACGTGTAAGGTGGTAGAATCTGTTCGACTGCAGCACAGCAGTAAGAGTATAAGAGATGGGTTAGAAAACAATTTTGCTGCCTGTATTTTGCATTCCCAAATCTCTTAAAAATATGCAGCTCTACAAATAAAAAGCCTTCTGTCTGTCTCAGGGATGGATAACTTCAGCAAGTAACGATTACCTCAACGAGTCTGACAGGTATTAAAAACAATGAGACATACCACTGCACCAATACCAGCAACACCAAAATCACTAGTCTGGCAGCGCATCACCCCTGGGACAAAGCAGCACCATGCATGGGAGCCGTTCCTCTCTGCGCATGGCACACTGCTGCCTTCGGGTTCTCTTACTTGAACAGAAGAGCTATTGACACAGCAATCACGGTCCCTCTGTTGCTGTTATCTCTGGCAAACAAAGAATAACAGCTATAATCCTACATCCTCTTGGAGATGTAAACCAGAAGGTTCCAATCTGCTTCAGACCAAGCTAATTTTGCCACCTGTAGTGCCCTGGCCTGCCACGTGCAGTCCTACACACCCATCTCCGGCCAGGTGAGAGGCTGGATGCTGGAATGAAAAGCAGGTACAAGCACAAGAGCCCAGCACAGCCACTCAGCTGAACAAGCAGTTGTCCAGAGTCAATGTTGCTAATGCTGAAGCACCAAGAAGGCTTTGCATTTTGCATACCTCACACACTCTTCTGCTCTGTACCTCAGGAAACACAACAGAGCGTTTTGTCCACAATGGATTCACTGTGGTTAGATACCAAGATGC